GCATTCACAGCTTCCGGTGGCCAGCTGTTCCACTGGTTAATTGTTCTCACTGTCAGGAAATTTCTTCTTAGTTCTAAGTTGCTTCTCTCCTTGATTAGTTTCCACCTGTTGCTTCTTAATTAGAACATGTTCGGTTTTAGAATCAATTTACCCATCATTTGTACATAAGGCCCCAGAATTGTTCCAAATTTTGTGTTATTAAAATGGTCGGAATCAGTCAAATCTCTAAAAGTCAATGTTTCTCCACCTGGGGCAGCTTTAAGATGCATGGATGTCAACTCCCAGAATTCCCCAGCCAGCCGTCATCCTAGTGGGGCCACCAAAGGTCTTTACTGGGCCACTGAAATGTCCTACTTAGGCCTTGTAAATCAGTGGTGGGTTCTAACTGGCTTTACTACCAGTTCTCTTCGTGCCCGTGCTTCACGCAAGCGCGTTACAAATCTGCCAGCTGAGGTGCGGCAATCCACTCTGCCACACCTATCAGCTGGGCTAAAAAAGAAGAAGTAAAAGGTAGGAATAATGCGGGGGCGAGCGGGAGGGCCCAGTTCCTGGACAAAGAGAACCAGTTCGGTGATGTCATATTGTCACCGCTACCGGTTCGACCAAACCGGGCTGAACCTACCACTGTTGTAAATGTCCCACCAGAAACGCCAAAGGTCCTATGTAGGACAATCAAATCTACTTAGGTTCCTATCTTAACAACTACAGTGATTCATGTAAGCGCCGTGTTCCAAATCGAACAACTGAGGCGATTCCCTTAACGACGGTGGCAAGAAAGGTCATAAAACGAGCAAAGCTCACTTCACTCTCTCGCTTAGCCACATAAATTTTGGGCTCCCTTGAGGCAATTTCGGTGTGCGGCAAACCGGTGGTAAAATTATGTGAAACCCATCTTTGCTACCGCCCATCCGTCCACTCCCCCGCATCCAGTAATATGTCCAGAGGTGAAATCCAGCAGGTTCTGACAGGTGCTGGAGAACCGGTAGTGGAAATTTTGAGTAGTTCAGAGAACCGGCAAATGCCACCTCTGGCTGGCCCCAGAGTGGGGTGGAAATGGAGATTTTGCAATATCCTTCTTCTAGGAATAGGGTGGGAATGGACATTTTGCAATATCCTTCCCCTGGAGTGGGGAGGGAATGGAGATTTTGCAATATCCTTTTCCCAGGAGTAGGGTGGGAATGGAGATTTTGCAATATCCTTCCCCCAGGAGTGGGGAGGGAATGGGGATTTTGCAGTATCCTTCCCCTGGAGTGGGGAGGGAATGGGGATTTTGCAATATCCTTCCCCCAGGAGTGGGGAGGGAATGGCGATTTTGCAGTATCCTTCCCCTGGAGTGGGGAGGGAATGGGGATTTTGCAATATCCTTCCTCCATGAGTGGGGAGGAAATGGGGATTTTGCAGTATCCTTCCCCAGGACTAGGGTGGAAACATATTTTGCAATATCCTTTTCCCAGGAGTAGGGTGGGAATGGAGATTTTGCAATATCCTTTCCCCAGGAGTAGGGTGGGAACAGATATTTTGCAATATCCTTCCCCCAGGAATGGGGAGGGAATGGGGATTTTGCAGTATCCTTCCCCTGGAGTGGGGTGGGAATGGAGATATTGCAGTATCCTTCCCTTGCCACGCCCACCAAGCCACACCCACCAAGCCACACCACGCCCAACAAGCCACGCCCACAGTACCGGTAGTTGAAAAAAATTTGGATTTCACCACTGAATATGTCCAACGGGATTTTTTCTTTCTGGCAAAATCGGTGGGCATTGGAAACGGCTCAGCGGGCAATTTTCCAGGCAGCAATGTTGATCAAGGGGAACGGAACGTAGGGAAGAAATTTAAAAAAATCAGGGGGTGCTCCGGGAACCAACATTAGATGGAAAGGGGGAGTGGAAAGGGAAGAAGGCAGGAATTACTCATCCCTTCCCCTTTTGCCGTCAGGTTTTTCACAGCTTTTGGATGGGCACGTCCGTTGCCGGGGCTGGATTTTGGCAAGGGCCCAGCTAGCCTTCCGCCCACCTGCTCTCCGGCGTTGAATGGCAGCACCACATGTTCCGCTTCCCACGCTCCTCTCTTTTTTTTCCAGGGAGTGGAGGGGGCATTTTCAGGAAAAGGGGGGCGGGCAGGGAAACCAAAGTGGGAAAATTTCGGTGGGGATTGATTGATTGACAGCCGAGCGGTGCGGTGGCCTAGAGGTAGAGCTCTCGCCTCACAATCAGGAGGCTGTGAGTTCGATCCCAGGTAGAGGCAGATCGTTCCCTCTCTGAGCACACTGAGAATATATCCGCTGGAAAAAAAACCTCCGCACTGGTGACAGGAAGGGCATCCGGCCAGGAAACATTCAGCTGCATCCACACCGCCCAGAGTTACTTAAACAGTAACAGTCTGCAACCTTAAACACTCAAAAGAGCCATTTGGACCTGTTTCCCACAGAAAAGAAAACACCGGGAGCCACAAAGCCTCGGTGGGCGTGGCCAACTCGATGTCACTCACTTCCACCAGTCACATGACACCCACCCTAGCCACGCCTACCCAGCCGGTCGTTAGGGCAGAGAACCAGTTGTTAAAAAACACCGGGAACCACAAAACCCTTTTGACATCTCTCTCTCTCCCCTCCTTCCCTTTCTCTCTCCCTCTCTCTCTGTATCCCTCTATGTCTCTCTCTCTCTCTCTCCCTCTCTCTCTGTATCTCTCTATGTCTCTCTCTTTCCCACTCTCTCTGTATCTCTGTCTCTGCCCCAGCTTCTCCATCCCACGCCATTGCCGTTACCTTCCCAGGCCAGGCGAGGAGTGACTGGGAGGGGAGGGCGAGGGGCGGGGTCAGCCAGTGGTGGGATCACCTGACAGGGAGCCACAGCAGAGGGCCCAAAGAGCCGCATGTGGCTCCAGAGCCGCAGGTTGCTGACCCCTGACCAGGCAGTGTATAAACTTTACTAATAAATAAATGGATGCAGGCAATGACAATGAATCCTATGTGCAGTGTTCCAATATCTGAGGGGCTCTGCCACAGAGAGGAGTGGGACAGCCTATTTTCCAAAGCACCTGAAGGCCGGACAAGGAACAATATATGGAAACTAAACAAGTAGAGGTTCAACCAGGAATTAAGGAGAAACTTCCTAATGGTGAGGACAATTAGCCAGTGGAACAGCTCGCCACCGGACGCTGTAAGTGCTTGATCGCTGGAGTGTTTCGAGAAGAGACTGGACAGCCGCTTGTCAGAAATGGTATAGGGCCATGATGGCGAACCTATGGCATGGGGGCCACAGGTGGCACGTGGAGCGATATTGGTGGGCACACGAGCTCAGCTCCAGCACGCGTGCGTGCACCGGGCAGTTGATTTTCAAGTCTTCCGGGCCCACCAGAAGTCAGGAAACACACTGTTTCTGGCCTCCGGAGGGCCTCTGAGGGGGTGGGGAAGGCCGTTTATGCCCTCCCCAGGCTCCTAGAAAGGCTCTGGAGCCTGGGGAGAGCGAAAAATGGGCCTACCGGACCCACCGTGCCATCGCGTGCCAAAAGCAGGGGGAACATGGGGGGGGCACATAAAATTATGGATGTGGGCACACATGTGTGTGACCTCCCCCGCGCTCCCCTCCCCCCGCTTTTGGCACGCAATGGCAAAAAGGTTAGCCATCACTGGTATAGGGTCTCCTGCTTGAGCAGGGGGTTGGACTAGATGACCTCCAAGGTCCCTTCCAGCTCTGTTATTCTGCTCCTAAAATACTTTTGGCACGACTTAGATTCAAGCTTCATGCACTGCAAAATGGTTTTCAAAACTAACTGGAAAATAGAGTAGAGTAGAGTAGAGTAGAGTAGAATAGAATAGAATATTTATTGGGAATGGAATGGAATGGAATGGAATGGAAGGGAAGGGAAGGGAAGGGAAGGGAAGGGAAGGGAAGAGAAGAGAAGAGAAGAGAAGAGAAGAGAAGAGAAGAGAAAGAGAAGAGAAGAGAAAGGTACATGAAGAGAGGAGAGGAGGGAAGGAAGGGAAGGGAAGGGAAGGGAAGAGAAGAGAAGAGAAGAGAAGAGAAGAGAAGAGAAGAGAAGAGAAGAGAAGAGAAGAGAAGAGAAGAGAAGAGGTACATGAAGAGAGGAGAGGAGGGGAGGGGAGGGGAGGGAAGGGAAGGGAAGGGAAGAGAAGAGAGAAGAGAAGAGAAGAGAAGAGAAGAGAAGAGAAGAGAAGAGAAGAGAGGAGAAGAGAAGAGAAGAGGTACATGAAGAGAGAGAGGAGGGAAGGGAAGGGAAGGGAAGGGAAGGGAAGAGAAGAGAAGAGAAGAGAAGAGAAGAGAAGAGAGGAGAGGAGAGGAGAGGAGAGGAGAGGAGAGGAGAGGAGAGGAGAGGAGAGGAGGGAAAGGGAAGGGAAGGGAAGGGAAGAGAAGAGAAGAGAAGAGAAGAGAAGAGAAGAGAAGAGAAGAGAAGAGAAGAGGTACATGAAGAGAGAAGAGGAGGGAAGGGAAGGGAAGGGAAGAGAAGAGAAGAGAAGAGAAGAAAAGAGAAGAGAAGAGAAGAGAAGAGAAGAGAGGAGAAGAGAAGAGAGGAGAAGAGAAGAGATTCTTAGAATAACAGAGTCGGAAGGGACCTTGGAGATCTTCTAGTCCAATCCTCTTGCTTAGGCAGGAGATCCTCCACACACTTCACACAAATGATTATCCAATCTCTTCTTAAAAACTTCCAATGCTGGAGCATTTCCAACTTCTGGAGGCAAGTTGTTCCACTGATTAATTGTTCGCACTAGTCAGGAAATTCCTCCTTAGTTCCAGGTTGCTTCTCTCCTTGATGAGTTTCCATCCATTGCTTCTTGTCCTGCCTTCAGGGGCTTTGGAGAATAGGTGGACCCCCTCTTCTTTGTGAGAAGAAATAGACAGTCCGAACATCCAAACCATATAAATTACAACCCAGAGGATGCTGGGCCTATGTATGTGCTCAGGAAGCTGACATTAATAACTGCATTGTGCTTGATCCACAGAGAAAACGATGGATTTTTTCAGAAATGTGTAGGCACCTACCTTGGCTTTGTTGATCGTGCAGTGAAGCGCGTTGTTTTCCTGATCGTACAGCAAGATGAAATCTAACGTCCCCAGCGCAGCTGGAAAAGAGGAACGCAGGGTACATGAAAGGAAAATCCTTTTGCTTCCTCTTAAAAATACAAATGAACGGTTGCCAAAAATAAAAAAGATCGAATTGTAAATTTCTGCAAAAGCAAGATCAGGTTATGTTGCAGGAGAAGGACGGAGATTTAGCTCTGAAAAGTAGACTGTCTTGGAGATTTGAGGCGCCATTATGTTGTCCAAAGGTGCTTTTTTTCAAGCACTTGGTAGTACAGGGGTTTAAGGCACCCTGTTATTAAGCTGGTTATTAAGACCAGCTGCCTGCAATTACTGCAGGGTTCGAATCTCGCCAAGGCTCAAGGTTGACTCAGCCTTCCATCCTTTCTAAGGTAGGTGAAATGAGGACCCAGTTTGTGGGGGCAATAAGCTGACTTTGTATAAATATACAAAAGGATGAAGGCTTTTGCTGAGCACATTGTAAGCCGCCCTGAGTCTTCGGAGAAGGGCGGCATATAAATCAAATTAAAAAAAAAAAAAGAGGCAACTGGACTTCCTGGTTTTTTTTCTTTGAAGACGTTTCGCTTTTCATCCAAGAAGCTTCTTCAGCTCTGACTGGATGGTGGGGAACGGAAGGATTGATACTCCTTGCAGACAGCTGGTCATTTGCGTCCTTTCAGAAAATCGTTGAGGCCACTTGGAGGTTTGTCTGTGTCCTCAGGGTCACCTGAGTGGTGCGAATGGGTGTGGAGACTTCTACAACACAGTCCTTTCAGCCAGAAGGCTCCACACCCATTTGCACTACTCAGATGACCCTGAGGACACGACAAACCTCCAAACGGCCTCAACGACCCTCTAAAAGGATGCAAATGACTGGCTGCCTGCAAGGAATATAAATCCTTCCATTCCCCACTATCCAGTCAGAGCCGAATCTTTTTGGATGAGAAGCGAAATGTCTTGAAAAAGCACCTTTACGACAACTGTGACCTGGATGATTGAGAATCTCTGAAGACAGCTCCATTGTGTGTTGATGGTGAGTGCTAAGGAATTCGCAGAGTAACCCTTGAATAGCAAGGGTGTGCACATGAAAGCGATTGAGAGTAGGTACGAATAAACACAGTCAACACACAGATACATTAAGTTGTGTTTACTTTCAGGAAATAGTAAGGCACAGTCCAATAAACAATCCAGGTCATACACATATAAAGCAGGAGATAGCAAAACAACAGTCCAGGGATAATCCAATAACAAAGTCTTCTTACCAGTCATCCTAGTCATTCGCAATACACAGTTCTTCTGGATTTGCAAACAGTAGCATACAGAGATATCAGAGAACAAGAACGGCAAAGAGAAACAAACCATGTTTCTAGCTTCCTCTTAAGGAGATTGGCTACAGAGCTAACCAATCAGGACACAGTATGATGCAATACAGCAGTCTTAAAGCTATATTGATGGTTTATATATTGCCAACCCAACAAGGTAGATAATACTCATTTCCTAGCAGTGATGGGATTCAAAATTTTTACTTCCGATTCTGTGGGCGTGGCTTGGTGGCTTGGCTTGGTGGGCGTGGCAGGGGAAGGTTACTGCAAAATCCCCATTTCCTCCCGATCAGCTTGGACTCGGGAGGCAGAGAATAGATGGGGGCGGGGCCAGTCAGAGGTGGTATTTACCGGTTCTCCGAACTACTCAAAATTTCCGCTACCGGTTCTCCAGAACTGGTCAGAACCTGCTGAAACCCACCTCTGGTGGTGAGGGGTTGAGGCAGCAGGCTAGAAACTGGGACACTGGGAATTCTAGACCTGCCTTAGGTCCAAAAACCAACCGGCGACTTTGGGCCAGTCACTTTCTCTCAGCCCTAGGAAGTAAGCAATGGCACACCACTTTGCAAAACGGTGCCACAATAAAATTGCAAGAGACCTCTCCATATATTTGCCAGGAGTTGGACCTGGAAGGAAATGTCAATCGGGGGATTTGGAATATTGCGTGTTTTCCACTTTTCCTGCTCGGCCTTTTCTCCTTTTGTGCTATGCCTTATTGAGCATGAATTCAATGCACAATTAAATACGATGAAAAACCAGGAAATGCTGGTAAAGGCCAAGCTTCCAGAAAACTGACTGTTTTATGCCAAGGAAGAGCTTTGGGTAGATAATTGGCCCCCTAAACTCATGGGAAGGCGGGAAAAGGCGTACCATTTATTTGAAAAATATTTATTAATGCATATAAAAGAGCGAATTTGATGCAAATTAAGGCCCCAGGCTAGAGAGTTGGAGACTATTAGTTCTGGGCATGAAGCTAGCTGGGTAAGTTTGGGTCATTTCTTCTCAGGCCTAAGAAGAAGGCAAAAGAGCGAATCGCTTCTACCAATGTTGCCAAGAAAACAACAGGGACTAGCAACCAGTCACCAGACGTCAAGAACTCTGCATTTGGCTTATTAAACCTCATTTTTCATGTCATTCCCTTTACTTAACATGATCGTTTGGGATTCTGTTTTTTATTTTCTAGTCTCTTTGCATTTGGTTTTATGCCACCTGCAAACCTGGTAGCCCTACCTCTACCGGGACTAGAGCCTTGATCATTCCAGCTCACCTGTCAATGCAGTTTTATTGAAAGAAGCGCTAATGAGAACTCAGTTTTCAACCCAGCCTTGGACTCATCTTATAGACAGGCTACCAGACTTCATTTAGCTAGTTTGCAAATCCATACATTGTTCTCCGAAAATCAAGATCAATTACATTCTAGAGCATTCCCACAAGTTATTTTTTTCTTTATTAATATTTATTATTTATTATAACATAAAACAACAATACAAGACATACAACATATATGTGAATAGTCTTTTTACAGCAATTTCGTGATGATCTTTCTTTATTATTCACAATTTCCCCTTATTTCTCTTTATATTATTCCAATTTACGACTTGTCCCCTTCCTTTTATTTACAATATATTTCTCGTCATTCATAACAAATTCTTAATTCTAATGCTGAACTAATGCTTTAATTTTTAACATGTCTATCTTTTCTCCCCTATTTTTCTTCCTCATTTTTCCTTTCCTCCAACCACTTGTACCATTTATGCCAAATCTCGTAATGTTCTGTGTCCTCCTTTTCTTTTAAATTCTTTTGTTAATCTGTCCATTAACCAGAGACATTCCTGTTAGGGATATTTACAGAAAAATTCATGAAGGATATAAAATATTTGATACTACATATTTTAACAACCGCTTGGATGGTTTATGCCCAGAATTGGCAAAAAGAAATAATACCAACAGGTGAAGAGTTAATAAAAAATTTTTGGAGAATGGGTGGCATAGAAATATGACTAATAATAATAATTAAAAAAAAGGAAAAAAATTTTTGGAATGTGCCGAGATGGACAGATCCCACAAGTTATTAATCAAAAACCAAAACGAGCATAGTTAATTTTAATGACTACATGGCTTTCACAATGTTTACTATTATTGATTGACACCTCCCAGGAAAACCTTGATCACCCATTAATACTCTTCAGTTTAATGGTTATAGAACAGGGTGTGGGCATCTATGGGGATTTTACAACCTGTGAACTTCCACTCCCAGAATTCCCCAATAAATGTACTTTAAGATGGGTGGACTTCCACTCCCAGAATTCCCCAACCAACATACTTTAAGATGGATGGGCTTCCAGTCCCAGAATTCCCCAGTCTGCAAGCTTTAAGATAGGTGGACTTCCACTCCCAGAATTCCCCAGCCAGAATGTTTTAAGATGGGTGGACTTCCACTCCCAGAATTCCTTAGTCTCCATTATGGACATCGGAACTTCGAAATTGGGTCATAGCTCCCAGTTTTGGAGGCCCGTTGCAACTTCAAATGGTCCCTAAGTGACTGGTCATAAATCGAGGACTATCTGTAGTTGCAGCCGTTATTTTGATTTTCTTGTTTGTTTGTTTTTAACCTTCCTGCAGGCAACCTTGCAATTATCCCGAAAGAGAACAGAGTGGCGGCTAAATATATCATAAATCTAATGCACGAAGATGGTTTATTTATTCATTTATTTCTTTGTCGGATTCCTAGCTTGATGGAACGAGAAAGAGACTCCAGGCAGGTCGCTAATTAAAGCAAAACAATGACAGGGTAATGAGAAATGAAAAATATGAAGAGAAACACCAAACAAACAAATAACTACAGTATTTATATTCTAGAACGGTATCTGCTGTCAGGGGTTGGACTAGAAGACCTCTAAAGTCCCTTCCAACACTGTTATTCTGTCAACTCTTGAACACTGCCCAGAAAAACTGCATTTTTAGAGGGCGGATAAGATCAGGGCCAAGTAAACATCGACACAACCATTCAAAGTTACAACGGCGCTACAAAAGTGACTTATGATTGTTTTTCACACTTAAGACCAGGAGTCTCCAAACTTGGCAACTTTAAGACTTGTGGACTTCAACTCCCAGAATTCCTCAGCCGGCAAAGCTTTGCCGGCTGAGGAATTCTGGGAGTTGAAGTCCACAAGTCTTAAAGCTTTCCTGGCTGAGGAATTCTGGGAGTTGAAGTCCACAAGTCTTAAAGCTTTCCTGGCTGAGGAATTCTGGGAGTTGAAGTCCACAAAGTCTTAAAGCTTTGCCGGCTGAGGAATTCTGGGAGTTGAAGTCTACAAGTCTTAAAGCTTTGCCGGCTGAGGAATTCTGGGAGTTGAAGTCCACAAGTCTTAAAGCTTTCCTGGCTGAGGAATTCTGGGAGTTGAAGTCCACAAATCTTAAAGCTTTCCGGCTGAGGAATTCTGGGAGTTGAAGTCCACAAGTCTTAAAGCTTTGCCGGCTGAGGAATTCTGGGAGTTGAAGTCCACAAGTCTTAAAGCTTTCCTGGCTGAGGAATTCTGGGAGTTGAAATCCACAAATCTTAAAGCTTTCCTGGCTGAGGAATTCTGGGAGTTGAAGTCCACAAGTCTTAAAGCTTTCCTGGCTGAGGAATTCTGGGAGTTGAAGTCCACAAGTCTTAAAGCTTTGCCGGCTGAGGAATTCTGGGAATTGAAGTCCACAAAGTCTTAAAGCTTTGCCGG